GCCAATCACAACGCACTGGATATCTGGCCAATCAGAGCACACCTCGCTTTTTCAGACCGATGAGCTTTGTAAAACTCGACGCGTTTCAGAAAGGCGGGGCATAGAGGAGAAACAATAATGTACAGTATGTGGAAAATAATGTTTTTTGAACCTTAAACCGCATAAACACATTTCATTACACCAAATACACAAAATAATGTTATTTTTAGCAACATCATATGACCCCTTTAAAATACTTATACTTAAAAGCCCATATAAGAAGCTCACTAGGTTTTGGATCAAAGCATATGTTTACACACTCAAATATTCCACAACCAGAATTCTCTGCAATATAAATTCAAAAATATTGAGTCTGATAGTGCTCTGCGGTTTATATTCAATATTTTATGTTAACAGTCAATCTGTATGGGCCTTGTGGTTACACAATCAATCAATTGCGTTTCATGTCTTCATCATGTCAACCATTGGCAACAGCTTCTATCAATTTTTAAACAGCTCTGCGAGCTCAATGTAATGGGTCCAAGGCCACAGACCACACTGCAGCACATACAGAACAATCTCATCAAAGAAAATAAACTGAAGAACGTTCAGGTGTAGCGATAAATCAGTGTGCTGATAAAGGATCAGCTTTATACTTACCATGTGCTGATAGAAAAAGTATGTGTTATGTGTACTAGGATTGAGCCTTTTCAATTTATCCTCTAAGGGAGCGACAGACTCACACAGGAATTGTGTGAGAGAGAAAGAAGCAGAGAAAGCAAGGAAAGTGTCAAAAAGTTGAGAAACGTTCAATGTTCTGCAAATTAAAGGTGAAAAACACTGGCCAGTAGATAAATAGTTTTGATGTGAAGGAGTGTCATCAGTCATAAATGTTTTGAAATTTGAGTTTCTGGTGAATTCATGCCTTATATGACATTGTTACATATTACTATTTGCACACTTTTATTCTAGCTAGGTTAGTAGTAGTAGTAGTAATTAATAAAAAATAAAAAAACACATTTCCCCAAATTTTCATTTTGAACTTCATGTGTCTTTCTGCCACAAATCAACAACAAAAAGTGCTCAAAAAGTGACAATGATGTGCAAAATGTCTTTAAAGTGTGATTACAATACACATTTGTCTATGTGTGCATGTGAGAGTAAGATGAATGTCATAATTTCCTTGAAAAGTATCCTGCAAACACAAACATCCTACTAAAATCTTTAATCTTCATGTGTCAAAAAGAGACCTTTGGTCCTTAGTCCAAAAAGAGTCCTTAGATAATCCTCAAACACTGCTTCCAAATTTCATCAGGCATTGATATTCACCAGCTACTGTGTACTGCTTTGTAAGATGGAAATGTTTGTTAGCTCAAGGTTAGTAATAGCGAGGGCCTAATAGTTCTAATATTCTAATATAGTAAATAGTGGTTACTATGTGATTTAAAATGATGGTTATTAATTAAACATTTATATTTGGTTAATCTTGAATATTTGGTTTCATCCTCTGTAATAAGGATGGTGTTTTGCAAGGTCAACCGACATGGCACAAAAGACCACAAAGACAAGCTGCTGAAAACACTACAAGACACATACAGGAAGTCAGGCAGCATGCAAACCAAGAGGAAGCCAGAGATGATAAAGAGATCTGCACAGTCAAACAGAGTGCTGAACAAGTGAGGGGATGAGTAAGAGATGAAGGAAATGCAGTATATCTTCACTGTTTATCTTTACAGACACACATCTTCCTACAGTCTGATTGTCAAGGAACACTTTGTACGGTTTGATCACTGGATCTTATCTAGGGACAATTTCCCTGCACCTCTCCATCTCCTCTATGTTCCTTTTAACTTTTCCCATTCCTTCTCATGTAGTTTTCTTCCCTACCTCGGGGATATAGATCCACTTCTTGACGTCCTTTTCTTCACATATGCTCGTAACAACCATTAAAGCCATTTTGGGCAATAACCATCATATTTAAAGAGATGGAGTTCCTGAATGAATCAGTATTTTTGAAAAAATTAGTTGGCTGAATGATTCAATGACTCACTCATAATGACAGTCACATGCTTCATTCTTGAATGAATGTTCCAGTGTTTTGATTGAACCGGTTTAGTGGTTGACCCATAATATGTATATATATATATATATATATATATTAG